GGGGGACAAGGGGGAGATGGACACGGGGGGGACATTGAGGGGGGCTGGACAGGGGTGACATTGGGGGGAACACTGGGGGGCCCCTGGACATCTTTGGGGTGTGTGTGACACACTCACCATGGACCCCCCCCCCAGTCAGATCCCACTCCCCCTTTTTAATTTGGTTTTTACCATTTTTCCCCACAGGAAAACAAAACCAAAACCAAAAAAAACCCAGAAACAAACAAAAAAAAAAGAAAGAAAAAAAAACCACACAGAAAAAAAACACCAAAAACAAACAAAAAAAAAGAAAGAAAAAAAAAACCACACAGAAAAAAAAACACCCAAAAAACCAAAACAAAAAAAACAGAAAAAAATCCCCAAAACAAAACACCACAAAAACAAAACCTAAAATTAAGGATTTTTTTTTAATATGCATTGCCCATTTTCTGCATTTTTTCCTATTTTCTACATTTCTCCCCCCAAAATGAGGAGGCAGGAGGGGCCTTGGGGAGAAAAGCAGCGATTCTGGGCAATTTTGAAGGGTTTGGGTGAGAAATGAGGCGGAAATGGAACAAAAACCAGAAGATATCACCCCAAAGCACCCGCTGGGACGGCAGGAAGGAGCCACTGGTGAGCAGAAACGGGGGTTGGGCCAAAAAACCCCAAAATTGTTGGGTAAAAAGCAAAAAAAGGGCATTGAGGGTGTGGCACAGCCCCAGTTCCAGCAGGTTTTCCCCCAAATCTGGCGTGGAGCAGCTCAAATTCCAGGGGGTTTGGGGCCAAAAGCAAAAAAAAGGGCAAAATTTGGGACAAAACCAAAAAAGGGCCAAATTTAGGGGCAAAAATTAGAAAAAAGAAAAGCCTAGTTCAGGGCCAAAAGCAAAAAGAAGCCAATTTTAGGGTTAAAAAACAAGAAAAAAGGGGAACAATTTGGGGTCAAACCAAAAAAGGGCAAATTTCCACCCAAAAAAGGCCCAAATTTCACACAAAATAAAAGGGGAATTGGGTCCAAACTCGCTGTAAAATCCCCAGTTTTGAGGATTTCTTCATCCTGGTCCTGTGTGGGCTTCCAGGGTTATCCCGGGGCTGGTTTGGGGTGGGAATCGGGGATTTTGGGAAATGGGATTTTGGGTGGGAATCAGGGGTTTTGGGTAATGGGATTTTGGGTGGGAATCAGAGATTTTGGGAAATGGGATTTTGGGTGGGAATCGGGGATTTTGGGGTCACAAGATTTAGGGATTTTGGGTGGGAATTGGGGATTTTGGGTGGGAATCAGGGGTTTTGGGTAATGGGATTTTGGGTGGGAATCAGGGATTTTAGGTAATGGGAATCAGGGATTTTGGGTAATGGGATTTTGGGTGGGAATCAGGGATTTTGGGTAACAGGATTTAGGGATTTTGGGTAACAGGATTTTGGGTGGGAATCGGGGATTTTGGGTAGTGGGATTTTGGGTGAGAATCAGGGATTTTGGGTAATGAGATCTGAGCAATTTGGGAGCAGGACTCTGAGGGTTTGGGGTTTGACACCTCTGGGGCTAATTAGGGCTCTGCTTCGTTAGCACTTCATTGGGGGGGCTTCATTAGAGCCCCCACTTCATTAGTAGGAGCATCATTAAGGCCTCTCACTTCATTAGCGGGGTGTCATTAAGGTTCCCTACTTCATTAATGGAGGCGTCATTAGGGTTCCTTGCTTAATTAGAGCCCCACATTTCATTAACAAGAATATCAGGAGAACCCCCTGCTTCATTAGAGCCCCCCAGTTCATTAGAGGGGCTTCTTTAGGGCCCCCCCTTAATTACTGGGGGCATCATTAGGACCCCTAATTGGCTGGGAGGGTGTTAGGGCTCTAATTAAGGCAAGGCTTCGTTAATTAAGGACTCACAGGGCAGGGGGTTGCATCGCTCGCGGGCAGCCAGCAGTGCCATGGCCAGCAGGTCCTGCAAAATGGGGGAAAAACAGCTGCTTTAGGCAAAAAACAACTCAAATCAGGCAAAAAACTTAATTTTTATTAAAAAAATACAATGAGAAAGTGTTTTTGGGAGGACTGACCTTGCCAGAGACTCTGCAGAGGAACGCCTGCACCACGGTGTGTCCCTGGGGAGGAGAAAAACAACCAGAAAATCATTTTTGGGGAAAATCGCCCGGTTTGGGGGGTCTGGAATGTGAGGGGAGGCTTTGCCGGGTTTGGGGGGTACCTCAAAGACCCCCCCCAGAACAAGAATTAGCATTTAACCCCCTTAAAGCTTCAAGTGACCCAAAAGCCGCCAAACCCAACCCTTTTTAGTGCCTAAAAAGCCGTAAATCCCCCCAAAAGCAGAGCGAGCGTTTAATCCCCAGAGCTCCGCGTGGGCTCGGGTTTAACTCGGGCTCGTACCTCTCTGCCTCACTCATGACGCAGGATCAAAGGCTTCTCTGAAGTTTAAGAGATCCTTTTTTGCTATATTTTAATAAAACTTAAGGTGCTGAATCGATTTTTTGATGGCGGCAAAATCGCCTCAGGAGCTCCGGCGCCTTCCCGCCTTTTTCCTTCGCCTCAGCGGCCTTAGCCCCGCCCCTTCCCGGGAGCCGCCTCCCATAGGCCGCGAGGGCGCGCCGCCAGCCAATCAGAATGCAGATGTTGAATAAGCCACGCCTCCCTCGTGCTCTGTTATGGAGATATCATCCAATCAGAGATGAGGAGCGCAAAGGAGACGTCGCTGATTGGCTGGGCGCCGTGAGGGGAGAAGTGTGAAGGGAGGGGCGGCTTGTGGGGGTTTGTGAGGGGAAGGGAGCGGGGAAGGCGCTGCGGACGCGACGAGAGGAGCGGGGAGAGGAGACAAACCCGGCTGGGGCTGGGCGGCCCCGCGGGGCTCGGCGGGTCGCGCCCCTCCCTTAGCAACAGCCGCCGGCCAAGCGGCGTCGCGCGGGGGATTTTTCTGATTGGTCGAGCCCCGCGGCGCCTGGCCAATGAGCGCGAGCCACGGGACCCTGCGCGTCCCCGCCCACCCCCGCGCCGGCTGAGGGGCCGCTCGGAGCGTACCAATCGCGGGCGTGCAGGGGGGGGAGCCCAGCGGTTCAGGGTTTAGCGGGGTCACGGCTCCCGTTCAGAGAAGGACAAGGAGGCTCCTCAGGATCTGTGTAGGGAGGATCCGCTCTGGGGAGCGAGGTGAGGGGAACAGGCTAGGAGCGAACGCCCCTCGGTCTCCCCCCCGTGCAGCGGGTGGCGCGGTCCGGGCGGAAGTGAGGTGTCGCGCGCTGCGGCGGTTCCGGTGTGGGAGCGGCCGGGGCTGAGGCGGGGTCGGGCCCGGTGAGTCCCGGGGGGCGCGGGGGCGACAGCGGGGCCGGGGCCGGGCAGGGCCCCGGGGCCGGGCANATTGTTTGGGGGCATTGGGGGGACAGATGGACACGGAGGGGACAGCGGGACAGGGAGGGGACAGAGGGACATGGGGAGCACTGAGGGTTTGGGGACATTGAGGGAGGGACAGAGGGACAGGGAGGGGATCTGGAGTGCTGAGAGGACAGACAGACATGAGGGGACAGAGGGATGTGAGGGGACCCTGAGGGTTTGGGGACATTGAGGGGTGACAGAGGGACAGGGAGGGGACAGACGGACAGAGGGACAGGGAGGGGACAGACAGACACGGAGGGGACAGACGGACAGAGGGACAGGGAGGGCGCCTGGGGGAGCAGGTGCCACCAGGTGCCACCACACCTGGGACAGGCCCCGGCGCTGCCGGCGGGACCGAGAGCTGGGCTGGGAAATCTCATTTTGTGGCTCCCAGGGATCGTTAACGAGCAGAAATAATTACCTAATTACCTTTGGGGCAGGGCCAGCCGCGGGGGGCGGGGCTGCTTTTGGGGGGAAATCCATTACTTTAGGGGTGACATCCATTTTTTGGGGGTGAAATCCCTGCTTTTGGGGTGAAATCCCTGATTTTGGGGTGAAATCCCTGATCTTTGGGGTGAAATCCCTGATTTTTGGGGTGAAATCCCTGCTTTTGGGGTGAAATCCCTGATTTTGGGGTGAAACCCCTGGGTTTTGGGGTGAAATCCCTGCTTTTGGGGTGAAATCCCTGATTTTGGGTGAAACCCCTGATCTTTAGGGTGAAACCCCTGATTTTTGGGGTGAAATCCCTGATTTTTGGGGTGAAACCCCTGATTTTGGGGTGAAACCTCTGATTTTTGGGGCTCCAGGCTGAGGCTGACAGCAGGAGCCTGAGTTCTGATTTTGGGGTTAGTTTAGGGGTGAAATGTGGATTATTTTGGATTATTTTGGATTATTAAATCCCATTTTTGCCATTCCAGGCCGAGGCCATGCTGTGCACGGCGCTGGTCATGGCCAGCAGCCTCAGGGCTGATTTTGAGGATATTTTTGAGTTCTGATTTTGGGGTTAGTTTAGGGGTGAAATGTGGATTATTTTGGATTATTTTGGATTATTAAATCCCATTTTTGTGGTTCCAGGCCGAGGCCATGCTGTGCACGGCGCTGGTCATGGCCGGCAGCCTCAGGGCTGATCCTGGGGATATTTTTCAGGTTAAATATGGATTATTTTTGGGGTTAAACCCCTGTTTTTTGGGTTGCAGGCCGAGGCCATGCTGTGCACGGCGCTGGTCGTGGCCGGCAGCCTCAGGGCTGATCCTGGGTTTATTTTTGAGGTTAAATATGGATTATTTTTGGGTTAAATCCCCATTTTTTACCATTCCAGGCCGAGGCCATGCTGTGCACGGCGCTGGTCATGGCCGGCAGCCTGGCGCTCACCACGGCCGTGGTGGCCCACGCCTACTACCTGAAGCACCAGTTCTACCCCACCGTGGTGTACCTGACCAAGTCCAGCCCCAGCATGGCCGTGAGTCCTTCCTTCCTCATTAACCACCCTAATTAACCCCTCATTACCCGAGGGCCTGCCCACGCTGCCTCACTTCTGCTTTTGGGGCCACAACGGTTGGGGAGCTCCCCAAACCCCCCTGGGGGCAGCAGCGGGGCTGGTTCCACCCCATCCACCCCCCAGGGTGGGTTTGGGGTGCCAGATCCCCCCCGGGCTGTCCCCAAAATGCTTTTTGGGCTCTCCTGGCCCTGCAGGTGCTGTACATCCAGGCTTTCGTGCTGGTGTTCCTGCTGGGCAAGTTCATGGGCAAGGTTTTCTTCGGGCAGCTGCGCGCGGCCGAGATGGAGGTGAGCGGTGTGGGGGCAGCTCTGGGCTCCAAAAACTCTCTGGGCCTGATCTAGGGGGAGTTTTGGATCCTAGAAATTCTTTGGTGCTGATTTGGAGGGAATTTTGGATCCCAGAAATTCTTTGGTGCTGATTTGGGGGGAATTTTGGATCCCAGAAATTCTTTGGTGCTGATTTTGGTGGGAATTTGGGACCCCAGAGGATGTTTGGTGCTGATTTAGGAGGAATTTTTGACCCCAGAAGGTTTTTGGTCCTGATTTAGGGGGAGTTTTGGATCTCAGAGGGTCTTTGGTGCTGATTTGGGGAGAATTTCGGACCCCAGAAGTTCTTTGGTACTGATTTAGGGGGAATTTTGCACCCCAGAGAGTGTTTGGTGCTGATTTTGGTGGGAATTTTGGACCCCAGAAATTCTTTGGTCCTGATTTAGGAGGAATTTTTGACCCTAGAAGGTTTTTGGTCCTGATTTAGGGGGGAATTTTAGATCCCAGAGGGTGTTTGGTGCTGATTTAGGGAGGAGTTTTGGACTCCAGAGGGGTTTTTGTGCTGATTAAGGGGGGAATTTTGGACCCCAGAAGTTCTTTGGTCCTGATTTGGGGGAAATTTCAGACCCCAGAAATTCTTTGGTCCTGATTTGGGGGGAATTTCAGACCCCGGAATGTCTTTGGTCCAGATTTAGGGGGAGTTTTGGAACCCAGAAGTTTTTTGGTCCTGATTTGGGGGGAATTTTGGATCCCAGAAATTGTTTGGTCCTGATTTAGGAGGAATTTTTGACCCTAGAAGGTTTTTGGTCCTGATTTAGGGGGAATTTTGGATCCCAGAGGGTCTTTGGTGTTGATTTAGGGGGAAATTTTGACCCCAGAATGTCTTTGGTGCTGTTTTAGGGGAATTTTGGACCCCAGACAGTCTTTGGTCCTGATTTAGGAGGGAGTTTTGGACCCCAGAGGGTCTTTGGTGCTGATTTAGGGGGGAAATTTTGACTCCAGAATGTCTTTGTTGCTGTTTTAGGAGGGAATTTGCACCCCATAAAGTCTTTGGTGCTGTTTTGGGGGAGAATTGATGCATTTTGGAGCAGGATTTTGAACCCCAAGAGATCTTTGGTGCAAATTTTGAACTCCCGGAGTCTTTGGGCTCCATTTCAGGGTGAATTTTGAACTCCAAGAGTTTTTGGGCCCCGTTTTGGGGTGAATTTTGAGCTCCCAGGGTTTCTGGACCCCATTTTGGGGTGAATTTTGAACCCCCAGGTTTTTTTGACCCCATTTTGGGGTGAATTTTGAGCTCCCAGGGTTTCTGGACCCCATTTTGGGGTGAATTTTGAACCCCCAGGTTTTTTTGACCCCATTTTGGGGTGAATTTTGAACTTGCAGTTTTTCTGGACCCCGTTTTGGGGTGAATTTTGAGCTCCCATGGTTTCTGGACCCCGTTTTGGGGTGAATTTTGAACTCCCAGGGTTTCTGTGTCCTGTTTTGGGGTGAATTTTGAACCCCCAGGGTTTTCAGGTCCTGTTTTGGGGTGAATTTTGAGCTCCCAGAGTTTCTGGGTCCCGCTTTGAGGTGGATTTTGAACTCACAGAGATTTTGGACCCCATTTTGGGATGAATTTTGAACTCCCATGGTTTCTGGGCCCCATTTAGGGGTGAATTTTGAGCTCCCAGGGGTTTTGGGGCCCCGTTTTGGGGTGAATTCTGAACCCCCAGGGTTTTGGGGCCCCGTTTTGGGGTGAATTTTGAACCCCCAGGGTTTTGGGGCCCCGTTTTGGGGTCCAGCCTGGCGGCTGCCCCTGACTCTGTCCCTCAGCACCTCCTGGAGCGCTCGTGGTACGCGGTGACCGAGACCTGCCTGGCCTTCACCGTCTTCAGGGACGACTTCAGCCCGCGCTTCGTCGCCCTCTTCACCCTCCTCCTCTTCCTCAAGTGCTTCCACTGGCTGGCCGAGGACCGTGTGGATTTTGTGAGTGTTGGCAGCAGGGAAAACGGCTCAAAAACCGCCCAAAAAACCCCCAAATGCAGCCTGAAACCAGCCCGAAAATCAGGCAGAATCAACCCAGAACCTGCCTGAAAGCAGCCCAAAAATAACCTGAAATCAACCAAAAAATAACCCAAAATCAACCTGAAACCAAGCCAAAAATAACCCAAAATCAACCTGAAACCAACCCAAAAATAACCTGAAATCAACCTGAAACGAAGCCAAAAATAACCCAAAATCAGCCCAAACCAACCCAAAAATAACCCAAAATCAGCCTAAGCCAACCCAAAATCAACCCAAAAATAACCTCAAATCAGCTCTAACCAGCCCCAAATCAGCCTAAACCAACCCAAAACCCAACCCAAAACCCACCCTAAAAATAACCCCAAACCGACCTGAAATCAACCCCAAAAATAACTCAAAGCCACCCCAAAAATAACCCAAAACCAGCCCAAACCAACCCAAAATGAACCCAAAATGAACCCAAAACCACCCCAAACCAGCCCAAAATGAACCCAAAACCAGCCCAAAATCAACCCAAACCCCATTTTTTAATGAAAAAATTGAATTTTCTCCCCTGCCCAGATGGAGAGGAGCCCCAACATCTCGTGGCTCTTCCACTTCCGAATCGTCTGTGAGTGCTCCTCATTTGCATATTTTTGGGGAACTGCCCAGAGCGTGCTGGGGCCTGATAACCCCAATTACCCTAATCAGCAGCGGCTCGTTAACGAGGGGGTGACTGGGGGGGGTTAACGAGCTGCGTGGAGGGAAAACAAGGATTGGATCCACGGCAAAATGGGGTGGAAAAATGGGATTGGGGGATGGAATTCCCAAAAGTGGAGAAATGGGATTTGGGGATGGAATTCCCAAAAGTGGAAAAATGGGATTTGGGGATGGAATTCCCAAAATCACAAAAAAATGGGATTTGGGGATGGAATTCCCAAAATCACTAAAAATGGGATTTGGGGATGGAATTCCTAAAATCACAAAAAATGGGATTTGGGGATGGAATCCCTGAAATCAGAAAATGAGATTTGGGGATGGAATTCCCAAAATCAGAGAAATGGGATTTGGGGATGGAACCCAGAGCGTGCTGGGGCCTGATAACCCCAATTACCCTAATCAGCAGCGGCTCGTTAACGAGGGGGGGACTGGGGGGGGGTAACGAGCTGCGTGGAGGGAAAACAAGGATTGGATCCACGGCAAAATGGGGTGGAAAAATGGGATTGGGGGATGGAATTCCCAAAAGTGGAGAAATGGGATTTGGGGATGGAATTCCCAAAAGTGGAAAAATGGGATTTGGGGATGGAATTCCCAAAATCACAAAAAAATGGGATTTGGGGATGGAATTCCCAAAATCACTAAAAATGGGATTTGGGGATGGAATTCCTAAAATCACAAAAAATGGGATTTGGGGATGGAATTCCCAAAATCAGAGAAATGGGATTTGGAGATGGAATTCCTGAAATCAGAAAATGGGATTTGGGGATGGAATTCCCAAAATCAGAGAAATGGGATTTGGGGATGGAATTCCCAAAATCAGAGAAATGGGATTTGGGGATGGAATTCCCAAAATCAGGAAAATGGGAATTTAGGGATGTATAAACCAGTTTTTGAAGGAATTTTGAAGGAATTTTGAAGGAATTTTGGGTTTTTGAGGGGCGGGAGGCCGCAGGGCGTGGCTGGGAGTGGCTAAATCTGCTAATTAACCTGATTTGGGGATGGAATTCCCAAAATCAGAAAAATGGGAATTTAGGGACGTATAAACCAGTTTTTGAAGGAATTTTTGAAGGAATTTTGAAGGAGTTTTGGGGTTTTGAGGGGCGGGAGGCCGCAGGGCGTGGCTGGGAGTGGCTAAATCTGCTAATTAACCTCCTCGTTAGCGGTGGGGTGTAGGACCCCCCACCAGAGCTGCTCCCGAGGGTGGGACCCCGCTCATTTTTGGGGTCTTTCCTCAGCCCTGATGTTCCTGCTGGGAATCCTGGACTTCCTCTTCGTCAGCCACGCCTACCACAGCATCCTGACCCGCGGCGCCTCCGTCCAGCTGGTCTTCGGCTTCGAGGTGGGTGGGGGGTCCCGGGGGGTCCCCGGGGTCCCCAGCGGGGCGCGACGTCCCACGCGGCGCCTGTCCCGCCCCCAGTACGCCATCCTGATGACCATGGTGCTGACCATCTTCATCAAGTACGTGCTGCACTCCGTCGACCTGCAGAACGAGAACCCCTGGGACAACAAGGCCGTGTTCATGCTCTACACCGAGCTCTTCACCGGTACCGCGGGCTGGGGGGCTCGGGGGGCTCGGGGAGCTCGGTGAGGGCTTGGTTAACCAAGAGTTGGGGGGTTGGGGGCGTCCAGGTGGGCTTGGTTGGTCAACGAAGAGTTAAAGTCTTGATGGCGCTTGGTTGGTCAACAAAGAGGCAAAGTCTTGGTGGCGCTTGGTTGATCTTCATCAGTCAACGAAGAGTCAAAGTCTTGGTGGTGCTTGGTTGGTCTTCGTCGGTCAACGAAGAGTTAAAGTCTTGGTGTTCAACTGATCTTGGTTGACCAACGAAGACTCAAAGTCTTGGTTTCTAACAGGTTTTAGTTCATTAATGATGATCCAAAGTGGTCAGCTGCTCTTGGTGGTCAACCAAACCTCAAAGTGCTGGTGTTGAACTGATTTTGGTGGTCAACCAAACCTCAAAGTGCTGCTGTTGAACTGGTCTGGTGTTCAACTGATCTTGGTTGACCAACAAAGACTCAAAGTCTTGGTTTCTAACAGGTTTTAGTTCATTAACGATGATCCAAAGTGGTCAGCTGCTCTTGGTGGTGAACCAAACCCAAAGTGCTGGTGTTGAACTGGTTTTGGTGGTGAACCAAACCCCAAAGTGCTGGTGGTGCTTGGCTGGTCTGGGTTGGCCAATGAACGCTCAAAGTTTTGGGGTTCAGCTGGGTTTGGGTCATCAACGAAGACTTGGAAGAGGTGGTGGTGCTCAACTGGCCTTGGTTGGTCAGCTGGGCACCTCAACTGTCCCAAAATTGGCCCAGGTGACCTTGGGGGTCCCATCCCCTCACCAAACCTGTCCCAAAATTGGCCCGGGTGGCTTTGGAGTCCCATCTTGTCACCCGAATATCCCAAAACTGGCCCAGGTGACCCTGGGGTCCCACCTTGTCACCCGAGCTGTCCCAGGATTGGCTCAGGTGGCTTTGGGGTCCCACCTTGCCACCTGAGCTATCCCAAGATTGGCCCTGGGGTCCCTCCTGGTCCCTGGCTGTCCCAAAATTGGCCCAGGTGACCCTGGGGTCCCACCTTGTCACCTGAGCTGTCCCAGGACTGGCCCAGGACTGGCCCATGGTCCCAGGACTGTCCCTGCTGGTCCCGGCTGTCCCAGGACTGGCCCAGGATTGCCCCGGTGTCCCTGGTGTCCCCGCTGTCCCAGGACTGGCCCAGGATTGTCCCCGGTGTCCCTGGTGGTCCCAGCTGTCCCAGGATTGTCCCAGAACTGTCCCAGGAGTGTCCCTGGTGTCCCCGCTGTCCCCAGCTGGCCCGTGGCTCGTTGCAGGGCTGATCAAGGTGCTGCTCTACATGGCCTTCATGACCATCATGATCAAGGTGCACACCTTCCCGCTCTTCGCCATCCGCCCCATGTACCTGGCCATGAGGTGAGGCCCGGCGATCCCGACCCTTCCCCTTCCTGATCCCATCCTGATCCCGACCCTGATCCCGACCCTGATCCCAATCCTGATCCCATCCTGATCCTGATCCCATCCTGATCCCGACCCTTCCTGATCCTGATCCCAATCCTGATCCCATCCTGATCCTTCCTGATCCTGATCCCAGTCCTGATCCCATCCTGATCCTGATCCTTCCTGATCCTGATCCCAATCCTGATCCCATCCTGATCCTGATCCTTCCTGATCCTGATCCCGACCCTGATCCCGTCCTGATCCTGATCCTTTCTGGTCCTGATCCTTCCTGATCCTGATCCCATCCCAATCCTGATCCCGACCCTTCCCCATCCTGATCCCAATCCTGATCCCGACCCTTCCTGATCCCATCCTGATCCCGTCCTGATCCTGATCCCATCCCGATCCTGATCCCAATCCTGACCCCATTCTGCCCCTGATCCTGCCCCTTGGCCCAGGACGCGCGGGCTGCGATCCCAATCCTGATCCCAACCCTTCCTGATCCCATTCCGATCCTGATCCCAATCCTGATCCCGACCCTGATCCCATCCTGACCCCATCCTGAACCCATCCTGATCCCGATCCTGACCCCATCCCAATCCCAGTCCTGATCCTGATCCCGATCCCAATCCTGATCCCATCCAGATCCTGATCTCATCGCGATCCTGATCCCAATCCCGATCCCAATCCCATCCTGATCCCAATCCCATCCCGATCCCATCCCAATCCCAATCCCATCCTGATTCCAATCCCGATCCCAATCCCGATCCTGCTCCCGCTGTGCTGCAGGCAGTTCAAGAAGGCCGTCACGGATGCCATCATGTCCCGCCGGGCCATCCGCAACATGAACACGCTGTGAGTGCCCGCTGCTGCCAGGACCCCAAATCCGGGAAAAACCTTGCATCCATCTACCCAGAAACCCAAATCCGGGAAAAACCTGCATCCATCTATCCCAGAAACCCCAAATCCGGGAAAAACCTACATCCATCTATCCCAGAAACCCCAATCCGGGAAACCCGGGGTTCATCTACCCCAAAAAAACCCAAATCTGGGAAACCCTGGGTTCATCCACCCCAGAACCCCAAATCCGGGAAAACCCTGCATCCATCTATCCCAGGAACCCCAAATCCTGGGAAACCCTGGATTCATCCACCCCAAAACCCCAAATCCTGGGAAACCCTGTGTTCATCCACTCCAGAAACCCCAAATTTTTGGGAGCAGCTGTGGGATTTTTGGGACCAGCTGTGGGATTTTCAGGAAGAACTGTGGGATTTTTGAGGAGAGCTGTGGGATTTCTGAGGAGAGCTGTGGGATTTTTGGGACCAGCTGTGGGATTTTGGGATCAGCTGTGGGATTTGGGAGCAGCCCTCCTTTCCCGGCTCAGGTACCCCGACGCCACGGCCGAGGAGCTGCAGGCCATGGACAACGTGTGCATCATCTGCCGGGAGGAGATGGTGACGGGCGCCAAGCGCCTGCCCTGCAACCACATCTTCCACACCAGGTGCTGCTGCCGGGAATTCCGGGGATTTGGGGCATTTTGGGGTGGTTTGGGGGGTGGTTTTGGGGATTTTGGGGTGGATTCGGGTGTGGTTTTGGGGATTTTGGAGTGGTTTTGGTGGATTAGGGGGATTTTGGGGTGGATTTGGGGGTGGTTTTGGGGATTTTGGGGTGGTTTTGGAGGTGGTTTTGGGGGTGGTTTTGGGGATTTTGGTTTTGGTGGATTTGGGGGATTTTGGGGTGGTTTTGGGGGTGATTTTGGGGGGTCACCGCCACAGCTCTCCAGCCTGCAATGGCAGTCCTGGTCCCAATTCCAATCCTGATCCTGATCCCAGTCTTGATCCCAATCCTGATCCTGATCCCAATTCAAATCCTGATCCCAATCTTGATCCTGGGGATTTTCCAATCCTAATCCTGATCCCAATCCTGATCCCATCCCAATCCCAATCCTGATCCAAATTCCAATCCTGATCCAAATCCCGATTCCAGTCTTGATCCTAATCCCATCCCAATCCTGATACCATCTTGATCCCAATCCCATCCCAATCCCCAGCACCGCAGTGGTGGTTAATGAAGCCATTAGTTAACTGAACATTAATTAATTAGGGGTTCATTAGTGGGGGAAGGGTTAAATTCCTTTGGGGGGGTCAGAGGGACATGGCGGGGTCTCGGGGCCAACAGCTAACGAGAGAGGAGTCAATTAACGTGTTAATTACCGCCTGGGGAATGGGATTTCGTGGGTTGGCATTAATGAAGGCGCTAACGAAGGGCTCGTTAACCCTGCAGCTGCCTGCGCTCGTGGTTCCAGCGGCAGCAGACGTGCCCCACGTGCCGCATGGACGTGCTCCGCGCCTCGCTGCCCCCGCAGCCGCCCCCCGAGGCACCGGCGCCGGCGCCGGCCGCGGCGCAGGGACCCCCCAACTGTGAGTCATGGGGACCCCCCAAACTGTGACAGGGACCCCCCAACTGTGAGTGACTGTGGGGAACACCCAAACTGTGACAGGGACCCCCCAACTGTGAGTGATGGGGGACAGGGACCCCAAACTGTGAGTGACAGGGACCCCCCAACTGTGAGTGACCAGTGCTGGAGGGACAAAGGGACAGGGAGGGGACAAAGGGACAGGGAGGGAGAGGCCCCATGGGCAGCCTGGGGTGTTCCCATGGGGGTGTTTGCACCTAGGAATTCCCCCAGTGCCATCCCCCAGTGCCCTCCCCCCGTGCCCTCCCCCCGTGCCATCCCCCCGCGCCCTCCCCCACC